AGGTATCTAAAGATGACATTTGAAACATGGTAGGGAATCTTTTGTTTTAGACACCCTTTGATGTCATGAAATAAAGGGTCATGTAGTACAAAGCAAAATATTTTTATTTTTCTCATTATAATTCTAAAATGAAAAGCATATTTAACAATTTTATCATTAATAATTCATTCAAATGATTCAAAATTCCAAACCTACTGAAGAGTACAATAAAGTTTCCTTCTAACCCTTGTCTCCAGGCCGCCCAATTCCCCTCCTCCGCCGCAGCTAACAGTTAATGCACGTGAAACACACGTGGAAAAGGATCCAAGTGGGTGTATAGTCTTTCTTCCTCTTCTTAGATATAATGTAGCATAGTAGATCTACTCTTCTGCACTTGATTTTTTTCATTTATCACAATATAAAATCAACTTAATGTTTAAAACTTGTTTAACAGAACTGGACAAAATTTTGAAATAGTAAAGGGAGAAACTGCCATTACTAAAATGGAAGATGCTGGAAATAAAATCATTAGGGACAGTAATGCCTTAATATGTTTTAATAAATTGAAAAATCTAAGTGAAGTGACTAAAAGATGATATTAAAAATACAAGAATTAGAAAATCTGAACAAATGAGTAAATGAGGAAGAAATAAGCAAAGTCATCTGACAGCCAAGAGGGTAGCTATTGAAGGAGGAGTTAGCAGTTGAACTGAAGACTGCCTAAGCTCAGTCGCAGAAGATTCTTTGCATTTGCACTGTGGACATTGTTGATGACCTCAGGATTTTTCACTGGAGCAGTAAGAACGGAGGCCAAGTTGTGGCAGGGCTGCAAAGAGAACTGGAAGTGAGGACGTGGGTACAGAGGAGAGAAAACATGCTCGTGTAGTTCTGTTGTAAATGACGCTTAGCATCCTACCTCGTGCAGAGCAAGGAATATTTACGGTTGGAGTCTTGAGCGTATTTAAGTGGTAATGGCCAGGAGCCCGGTACAGAGGGAAAAGGTGCAGATGCTGAAGAGAAAATAGTAATGGGTGATGAGAAGTCCCTGAGGAAGGCGGGAGGAATTGAGAAGCGGGGTGCAGCTGGAAGGGACTGGCCTTAGGAGGAAGACTTCCTCTTTGCTTCCGAAGGGAAGAAAGGCTTGGTGCTGGGTGGACTTCCTGTTCCATGGCTTTCGTCTTCTTTGTAACAGAGTGGCTTAGTCATTTGCTGAAAATAAGGGGAGAGAGGATGGGAGACGAGGTTTAAGCGAGGGGAGGATATGTACTGGTCAGTGTAGAGAATATATTGGAGAAAAAAACTAAATAGATCGGTGGGTGGCATTGAGGCCCAAGTGGTTTCCCAACATTGCCCAGCACCCCTGGGTGCAGGCATGGAGAAGGCCAGCAAGGGGGTTCTACTAGGCCCCGGAGTGTCACTTCTTGATATCAGGACCCCTTTGTGTACTTAACTGTTGGCTCCGGAGAGCTTTTTGTTTACGTAGGATATGTTTATTGATAATTACTGTCTTAGAAATTAAAACTGGGAAATTTAAAAATATATTCTATATTGTATGTCATATCATAATTAGCCCATGTGTGTTAACATAAATGTTTATGTGAAAACTGTATTGCGAAACAAATTTAGCGAGAAGATTGATGTCATTTTAAAGTTTTGCAATTCTCTTTAATCCCTGGAATATTAGAAGGCAGTTGAGTTGTCCCGTTTCTCCATTCAGCCTGTTGTGACATGTTGTTTTTGTTCAAGTATATGAAGAAACTTCATCCTCAAACAGGTATTTGGAAAAGGTGTAGTATTTTAATAGCCTTTCAGATAATTGTGGATATTCTTTGATGCTGTACCAAAACTACACAAATGGTAAGTTTCTTAAAGATTAGAGTTTGGATTCCGACCCATATCAGTGAACTTTTTTTTTTTTTTTTTT